CCAACTTCTGATCAAAGTTTAAGGTAAAGGTTGTAAATCAACCATGTTAAGATGTATTACCATTGTCAGAGTAATGTTGCCTTCCTCTCCTTGCTTAATGTCAGTTGTATTTCCGGTGTTTTCAATGTGTTTGGGAAGTTTGCAACTATTTGTCTAAAGCTTCAAACATGTCATCCAAGTTCACAACATCACATCCATCTACTTGCAAGGGCGCCATGAACGTGAAACATGGAAAATCGGGCTGTATTCTACTTTTAGAGTACCAGAATGTCTATGTTTCATTAAATTTAGGTGTAAAGAATGAATAGCGTACCTTTTGAGGATCTGGCCACAGGGAGGCAACTATTTGCGACTATTTGGCAATGCCTTTGGCAACATCATCCAGCTGGAACCTGAGCCATCCATCCAAATGCTGCTCAATTAATCGAGTTTAAACAAGGTGTTTACTCAAGTCCAATGAAAACCGTCCAAGGCTAAGTTGCACGCGCACAACTTCAGTCGTGTGTCCGCTGACACACGACTCAGAGCCGCTGCTCGTCTCTCCCTTAACTCACGTGATCCACGCTTGGATGTGCACTAACAGGCCTTGATTTATTTTTAGATATACCCCTCACGGTTGAGGAGTGAGGTTGAGACGCCCCCTTTCCGCCAGGCTCTCGTCTTGACATCTCACTCCTCAACCAGGTATGATTCTCATTTTTTAATCTAGGCCCTCGTTTTGATATCTTACCTCGTTATCTAGTTCTAGCATACGCATTTCTCGTCACCCTCCCTCCCACTTCCTTTTTTACTACAAATCCTCGTAGTACTACTCATGTATGTAAGCCATACCTCGAGTGGAAATACGTCGGAGTCTGGCGCGCGCTGCGCCAGATTTCCTGACTTTGGCTATTTTCTCGTCACACAGTGACTCATACCGCCTCTGCATCACGCAAAAGCCTAGGTGTCATTGGAATACCAAAAGTCATTTTATATGTCAAAAACAAGTTGCAACTGAGGAAATATGAACTTGTTACAATCAATAATATGAATGACACCCTCCAAAATGCATTTCCATGATTTTCCGCTCAAAAGCTCGCTTTGTTGACAATTGTTTGTTACCTGGAAAAGGTCATCCGGAACATGACTTGTGCATCCATCATCTCCACATCTTTGATTGAGGCGGAAATTTTTGGAAAAAATCCGAAATATATTTCTACATCGCTTAGTAGCTCTGAGTAGCTGTAACACTAAATTTGAAGGAGAAATATGAGAATTATCACAACTGAAATATTCTGGTGAAATGCAGCTTTTTCAGAGGGATTTTGACATGGAAAAAACATATGTGGATGCTCTTTTGGCAAGAGAAACATACACAGGATACAGGAAAACATACCAGTCATCAATACTGATCCAGTGAGAAGACCGTGGCACGCGGGAGTGAGGAAAGTGCAATCAGACGCGCTGACAAGATGCGTGAACACCTAAACAACACACACACATACACACAAACACCTTCAACACTTATCACCACAGGTACGTGCTCGGTGCTTCAAGTTCGGGTTGGTACAGTAAATAGAATTACCACACTTGTTTTGTTAGAACTTTAGTAGAAGTTCGGGGAAACGATTTTGTATATTTTATATCACTTGTCTAAGTCTAGTAGACCCTTTGGAACAAAAGGTATTGTTTTTACGTGCAGGCACAAGTATAGAATTTGAAACCTAGTAGTCTTCAAAGGGAAACGGCTTTTATTGGGACTGTCTCGGTGTTCTGGGATTGTGTTCTAACTGTATACGAAGAAATGACAAGGAAATTGTGCTTTGTAGACTTTTATAACTCCCTTGAGCTTTTATTATGCCTCTGATTTGGTCCAAACTAGTCTTTAAAGACTCTTCAAGCACGCTCACTTGGATTCCTCGGTAAGAGCAGAGAGCTCTCTTACTAATTGACAAGATAACCTTATAAAAGCTTTGTGATCCCCACTTAACACGCTGGTTCCGGGCACACGTTACTTATGTCTGCGAAGAAAAGTCCTTAAATTGATTACAAACTTATCCACTACCTCAGATGCTACTGGGAGTGCGACAGCTGGTCAACGCGGGGGATAATTCCTCTCGTTTCAGCCTGCACGCGTCCTCCCTTTATACTATTTTATGTTTTCTATTTATATTTACATATCCGTGCGTTGCCCGAGAGGTCGGACGAATTAATGCTGATTTTTAGTAAAGGTTTGAAGTGGCTCGGTTGTGTTGTGGCACAACTGAGCTGACTTCTTTTAAGTTTTCGTAGTGTTTTCTCTATTGTGGCGACGCGACGCATCAGTATTGATGCGTATGTGGGAATCGCCGTAAACGGTTTTCACGATTGGCTCAGCTGAGGCGAACGGTCCGCTTAGTGATTTTCTCTCTATTATTAGATACTATGCCCAGGTTTTCGGACCACACGGCAAATCATTCATAGTTTTTCTCTTTTGGCAGACTTTGGAATATTTTGCGGAGTCTAGTTTTCTTGGGTCAATGATGCCATGATTTGTGATGTGCGTGATGCGCATGATGCGTCCCTCCACATGACTCCTTGGATCATGCTTCGTAGCACGTGACCGAATGACTTCTCGCGTCAGGTACGCATCGAGTTTCTACGCTCACACGTTTATCTTTTAGAATTAATATCTTTTAATCCATAATAAGGTGAGACCCTGGTTTGGTGTAAACTCCAATACCCTGTGCGGGGGTGTCTTTACTCTAGAACACTCGGTAGTGTACTATTTCATGGTAGCATAGCCTTTTATTAGACTTCGAGTATATTGAAGTGATTCGGTCACGAACCAACCACAATTCCTACTGCCTAAGGCGTGCACATTTCTCGGATGTAGACTTTAATCGACTAGACCAGGTTGCGTCTAACGATCCTTATGATCAATGTGACTGTATTTCTACTATAGAAGGTTTTATAGGAGAAATTGCTAAAATTCGCATTTTTACGGGTGTATTGTTACACTCTGTATCATCTCCCCCTCACTATAATACTGACCGTCCTCAGTCATCACTAGATCCCCGTGTGAGGACGTTCCCCTCGTGTTTTTCTGGATTTTATATTGATATGTCTTCAAAAGATCACCGTCTGTCAAGCGTGTCTTTTATTTTTCGGCGTCAATTACTATTACTAGTGCAGGCGCGTACATTCTTTTGAAGACATGACATCATATTCCCCTTGTTGCCTAGGTACGCTTTACTCTACTAACGTTTTGGCGTCCATTGGGCTTTTCAGGGTTGACGGAACCGAGGGATCCTCAGCGATCTTCTCCCGCAGACTATTCTTTGGAAAGTGCCTCGCTATTCCGTGTGTTCCGTTTGACATACATATAAACTTCAGGGTTTACGCGGTACATCTCCCATTTCTTTCTGTCTTTTTCGCTCATCATGCCTATCCCTTTCGTCGCTGGTCCTGCTGCCACTCACGCTTTTGAAGTTATCACCGGGCTTTTGCCAACGACGCATCCTGCTTCCACCAACGCCTCTTCTGCTTCTGTGGATGAGCTCGTCGCAGCGCTGAACGCAGTTCAAGGGCACATGGTAAGCTTTTTTTCGTTTTTATCTCTGTTGATCATCTCTGACTTTGTTTTCTTAGGCTGACTTTTTAATGGAGCTCATGGCTCGTGGTATCGGTCCCACTGCCCACGAGTCTCATCTTTTAGCCTCTTTATACAACATTTCTCAACAAATTCCCGTGGATCGACGGAGTTTCCTGTGGATGGGCTGGTTACGCCCTCCCCCGGATGGAAGTCGTCTTTATAGTGGGGTGAGTTGCTTTGTACTTGCTTCTTTTGTTTCTTTTTAACTTCAAACTTTTTGTGTTGCAGGAGGATCGGTTGAACCGAGAGTTCACGACTGCTGTGGTACCAACTACGACTGAGGGCTCTGCTGAGGATCGGACGCCTGCGCCACTCTCTCCAGCAGTCCTTTCTCAAGTCCCCGCAGTTGTCGAGCTTTCTCGTGAGACACCACTTTTCTTGCCATCGCCTTCACCACCACGCGACCTCCAAGCCTCTTTCGCCGTCTCAAGCGCTCTCGACCTGTAGCCTCAGATGACGATTCAGACGTTCAAATTATTGAGCCTCCTGTCGTACTTCCAGAGAAAGTGCTTGTTGGCCCGGTGAGCGATGCTTAAGTTTTTGTTTCTGTCTTCTTATTTACTAACTTTTAATTTTAATTTTTTCTTAGCCAGGAAAACGTCGCAAGGTCATTGACAAACCCGCGTCTGATGATGAATCCATCGACCTACCCGACCAGTACCGCGAACGATCCCAGTCCGCCTTCTCTGTGAACCCGCCACCGCGTCAGAGCAAAGGGAAGGGTCGGGCTCAACCAACCCCTACGCCAACTCCCAATCATCGCATATCACTTTGTCTGGCTCAGGCAGCTGGTACGGTTTCGGAGGGACCAGTGGTTAGTGGACCACCTGTTGTCCAACCCAAACGTCGTGGTCGTCCTCCAAAGCCTGGTAAGTTTTTTGTTTCTTTTCTTTGTTTCTTTCATTTCTAATTTTCTTCTTATTCTAGAGCCTATAATTCTCAAAGACGAGTTGGTTTTTGATAAGAAAAGGTTTAGTAAGTCGTTACTTTCTTTTACTTTTACTTTTCTAGTCACTCTCCTGACTTGTCTTTTTCCAGGGCGCGTCACCAAGCGTTTTTGTCTCGAAGAGTTTCCATCCTTGAAGAAAGCGGATGACCCCGTCCCCATGGTAAGCTCTTATTATTTCTTCTTTTTATCTGATATTAACACCTTTCTCAAAGATGCCAGAGCCATGTCTCCAATGCTCTGTGCACAAGGCCTCTGCCGTCGAAAATTGTTCATTTCGTGGCTGGGGGGTTCCCTGCGGACCATGTGATACATCGCACGTGTCTTCTTGTGAATACTACCTTGCCGATGCTTTGTGAGGCATGGCTAGGGATACTATTCAGAAGAGGGTTGCCATTCACGCGCCCTCTGGTGAGTTTTTGCTTACTTCTCAAATTTTTTATAGCCGTTCTCATTGACTTTTTTTTTTTTTTTTTTTCTTTTCAGCCCTTGCTGACCTTCTGGATCAGATCAAGCAAGACGCTCTTCACCTTTGTACGCTTTCCACTATGGTTGAATCCATCCGCCATCGCCATGATCTCAGCCTTCGAGAATTCGCCAACTCCCTTTACGATCTATTTTTCACAAGCGAGATCCCCACTCTCTTTGGGACTCTCTTTTCGGGTTGGGATGAGGCTAACGAATGGCTTCGCTTTGCCGACCCGTACGTTGGGAATGGTCAAGTCCTGGCCCCAGATGGTTCCAGTTGCATGGACTTGGACGATCTCATCGCGCTTTACAGGACGATCTCATCGCGCTTTACGGTCGTACCAAGGCTTTGCTGGTAGCAGGTCCTTTGTCTGGTGTCTGTCAATGTGCTCGCCCACGTACACCTTCGCCTCCAGTCTCGGTGCCTTCTGTTGCTACTCCTGCAGGTTCTCAAGGCGAGGGTGCAGGAGACGAGGACCAGTTGGCTGGCGACGACTGACGTTTTGTGGACTTTATACGAACTTTTCTATATGTGTCGTCGGACTCTCTAAATTTTGGGCTTTCTATATCATTTTTGTCACTGTGTTTTTGTACTTAGATTCTGCTGTAAGTAGTAGAATCTTGATTTTGTCACTCTTGAACTTGAGATGTGTCCTAAGTGAGAGCTCTGTGTGCTTTCTAGAGTGTGAATTTGTGAATTTTTTGGCTTTATTTCGTTTTTTCTATCAAATTCATTCTGCCTTAGGGTTTTATTGTCTCTAGTTCGTGTTTTTATGACTCTTTTCCACTTGGTAGTTTTTGGTGAATCATGAAATCGAATTTTTTATCTATCAAGGTAGCCTTGATCCCTCCCCCTCACTAAATATTGGCTGTCCTCAGTCAAAACGACTAAGTTCATAGGTCATGTGGCGTGGGAAATCCAAGGCTTGGAAAGTTTACTCTATTTTTAGACGTGATCGCGCTGGAACACGCAACTCCAAATTTTCAGGCTTCAAGTGAATTGCAACGTGGAATTTCGGAACACGCACGCCTTGGTTTTAGACACATATATAAAAGCAGGCAGTGGCGAAATTTTTCGGACAGAACAGTTTTTCGCTCTTCTACCACGCACTCTCATTTTACCACTCGCTCATTATGTCTATCCCACAAAACACTCTTCCTATCATGGTCAAGCTTCGCGAGTCTGCTCTTACTGCCTTCAAGACTTATCAGGACATGAAAGAGGGACCAAACAGTGCTGCAGCTCCCACCATTCTTGGCGTAGCCGCCAATTACTGTGTAAGTCACGAATTTTTCTAAACTTCGTATTATCTATTTCTTTGAACAAAGATTAACACTGCGCACTTGACTAGGTTCAGCTCATCGACACCAAGGATCCGTGTCTGCTTATGCACCAGCCAATGCACAATGTGCTTTTCCTTGTTAGAAGCGAGTACAATACCCGCAGCACTGGAGTTCACGCTATCGTGCCCCCAGCCGACCTCGACACTATCAAAGAATATTGTCGCGCCGTTCTCGCCGCGCGCGCTGCTGCGCAGGTTGTTCCACCACCTGTTACTGCTCAAGCTCAGGCTCAGGCTGAGATTGCAGAGGTAATGGCCACCGCTAAAGCCAAGGCACGTTCATACTTATTTTGTTCATCTTTTCTCATTTTATTAACACAGCACAGGTACATTTTGAAACAGCATCCCCGCAAGCTTGTCAAGTCCAAGGCTGTTGTTGAGGACAAGGATGACAAAGTCGAGATTGTCCCCGGCCCCTCGGATACCGATGTTACGATGGGTGGGTGTGATGGCCCCTACGCTATCACTGCAGCTGATACCATGCGTTATTTTTATTTTCTTTCGAGCAGAGCACAATTTTAATATTGCATACCACTTTGCTCAGATGGCTGTGGACAACCTCTTTGGTGACGAAGAAGTCAAGGACGCCGCTTCCTCTCCCAAAGAGAAAGGCAAGAAGCGCACTGCCTCTGGTCCCAAGGTAAGCTGCTATTATTGCGTGAGTCCACTGCCATGTTGTTAACTTCATATTGTATCCGAACATAACAGACCCCAGCCAAATCCAAGCATGCCGAAACAGTCAGCATTCCCTATGATGCTGTTCCAGGCATGGACACTAACAGTCGCAAATTTCACAAGGCCCTCGTCGTCGAGCATGCCAAAGGCAGTTGCGCCGGCGACAAACGCCCTCGTACTGAACCGCCCTTTATCAGCGGCTTAGCAGACCTTCAGTCTCATCAAAGTTCGTATTTATCTTTATCTTCATAAATCGTAAACTAATGCGCTCGTCCTTTGTTATAGACGAGTCTGCCAACTCCTTGCTCATCGACAACCCTTTGTACAGGGAGATCTTAGCGCGCGCACATGCGGCTGTTACCAACCACATGCCGGCTTATCCCACCCTTGCTTATTTCAAGCAGCAAGAGGTCGATCTTTGTGAACGTGTTCTTCTCAGCATGCAGCGCCTCGACTTGGAGCTTCGTCTTCACGATGTACTTGTCGCTGATTACGAAATTGCCCTTGCCCAGATTGCTGAGCGTGAAGTAACTAAGGAGTAGTAGAAGTATCCGAACTTTTTTCCGTAGACAGACACCTAGAGCCCGCATGTATAGTTGACTATGCATGGAAAATCTAGAAGGCGCTTGCGCATTATGTTTATAAACTGCTGGAGGTTTTATTAAACTTTAGCCAATTTAACGCATAAGTCTACTAAGCCTCTTCTTCACTTAAATCTTCGATTTCTTCTAAGTCCCTGGATTCATCTGCAGAAGACCCATCAAGATTAACTCCTTCAAAGTAGTAATCTCTTGCGTTAGGTCTTTCTTCAACACCTGTGTTTTCGATTTCATCCAGTTCCTCATTGCTTGCATCAATAAGTGTACTGAAGTGCTCAGGTAAGTCGATCCTTTCTCTTGTGAAATACGGAATGACTCTGAACGCTCCAATTTTATTGTGATTGACTGATCCATCTAGTTCACAAACTATATATGAAGACTGCTTTTATCATATAAATAAGGTAACTGCCTAGGGCTCCCTGTGTATAAGTCCACAGTCTTTATGATAGGAATCATTCCAGTTACCATGTCTATTCATTAGGCGATTTTCATTAGTTATCTGGGTGATATCATGGTGATTTTCATTATTTATCTGGCCGATATCATTGCAATTTTCATTAGAAACCTGGGCGATATCATTGGAAATTTCATTAGCTACTTGGTCAATATCATTGTGATTTTCATTAGTTATCTGGCCGATATCATTGCAATTTTCATTAGAAACCTGGGCAATATCATTGGAAATTTCATTAGCTACTTGGCCAATATCATTGCAATTTTCATTAGAAACCTGGGCGATATCATTGGAAATTTCATTAGATACCTGGGCAATATCATTGGCAATTGCCCAGGTATCATTGGAAATTTCATTAGCTACTTGGGCAATATCATTGCGATTTTCATTATTCATCTGGCCAATATCATTGCAATATTCATTAGAAACCTGGGCAATATCATTGGAAATTTCATTAGCTACTTGGGCAATATCATTGCGATTTTCATTATTCATCTGGCCGATATCATTGCAATTTTCATTAGAAACCTGGGCGATATCATTGGAAATTTCATTAGCTACTTGGTCAATATCATTGTGATTTTCATTAGTTATCTGGCCAATATCATTGGAAATTTCATTAGCTACTTGCCCAATATCATTGCGATTTTCATTAGAAACCTGGGCGATATCATTGGAAATTTCATTAGCTACTTGGCCTATATCATTGTGATTTTCATTAGAAACCTGGGCGATATCATTGGAAATTTCATTAGCTACTTGGCCAATATCATTGCGATTTGAACATCAGGCACTGCCTTCAGGGTACATCCCAAAAGGGAAATATCACCTGGTTTGACTAAAAAGTGAAGAAAACCAAGAGGAGAATGACTTTACCTATCAGGGTCCATGTAAGGGGATGTTGGGATGATGGTCACATGACCAATTACCAAAAATGGTCAAAAAAACGAAAATTGTAGCCCTACACTGTAGCTTCCCAAATCTGTTTGAATTATGTTCTGAAGTGCTTTTGTTGTGGAGATATGAGGTAAAGGAATTTCAAAAGTGTCCTGTTTTTTTTTTTTTTTTGTGTTTTTCTCCATGAAAACAAAACCAAATAACATGATTTCAGCATATTTAGAAAGCTAAAAGAAAGGGCTACAATTATTGTATCATGGGAAAAATGACCAAAAAAGGAAGGTTCATGCCCTACTATAAGAGTCAGATATAGACTACCAAGTTTACTGATAGACTACAAAAAAGTCGGACTTAGACTACACAGTTTACTGATAGACTATAAAAGACTACAAAAGTTGAACTTAGACTACAAAGTTTACTAATACACTACAAAAGACTACCAAGTTTACTGATAGACTACAAAGTTTACTGATAGACTATAAAAGACTACAAAAGTTGGACTTGGACTACAAAAGCTTGGACTTAGACTACAAAGTTAGGGTTAGGGTCAAAAGGTTATCCTGACTACAAAGTTTGTAGTGTCCACTTTTTCATTAGAAAGTTTGTAGTGTGCGCTTTTTGAGACTACAAAGTTTGTAGTGTTCATTTTTTCATTAGAAAAGTTTGTAGTGTGCGCTAGTTTATGGTGTCCTTGGCCCTATCTATGTATG